TTTATTATTTGAAATAGTGAAAAACTAAAAACAAGTTGTACGGAAGGGCGAAAATCTCAAGTAACGTTATAGACTTACTGACAACGAGTGTATATAACTCGAGGAACGCAACTGAGGATTACAGATAGATTTGTATAGTCTCTTGTATTAGGTGTGTATACTCTTCGTGCTTAGTGGAATATAATGAGAATGTAAATCGCTTTTGTAACATCTAAGAATTTTTTGTCACACACAATTAAAGACGTTTCCTTCAAGTTTCTTGAATTTTCTTAACAAATATGCGTATATTTCGATAAGTATATCACACATAGAATGAGCACTTTAATATTAACTTTAAGTTTTTAAATAATAAACACATATATATTGTTATGAACATCATTATATCAACTTGTACATTTGTAACAATTTGTGCTACCTGTTATTAAAAAATGTATTAAAAAATTGTATTAAGCGAGAGCATGGTAGAATTAATTTTTCTTTTTAAAGAATTAATTTACTTAATATAATTTTAGAAAATCTCTGAAATCTCTCTACTCCAATGACCATTTTTTCTACTGTACTGTGCATACATATATTACATTATGTATTAACGTAAAGAATTATTTGACGCCAGTACATGATTAACCAATGCAGAAAAATTGTTAAACGACGCTAACTGGCAAATTCTAATTAAAGAAATTTTATTGCAAAAAATATTATCTCAGCCAGGGTTTGATCTTGGACTTTTCTACACTCTATACACCACTGAGGCATGTGGTAATACCTTAGCGGAAAAATTTCTATAAATAACTACAAAAAATTGACTTGAAATAGAAATTTGTAGAAATTTTTATATCTTCGTTGAAACATGTATTTTTTGTAAAAATATCTACAAAATAGTACCACAAATTACAATGTTCTCAAATCAAGAAATTAATGCGAGTAATATTTCATGAAAATGTACAATTTTGTAAAAATTAGTACAAAACTTTACTGGTGTAAAAAATTTGTGAAACAACAAAATCTTAATGAATTAAAACATCTGCTTACTTGTAGAATATTACAAAAATTAACAAAAGTGTTCCAATTCTAGCATTTTCATGTTGATTTCCATAACACTTTTTAAATTTACATAGAATTTCGTAGATTCTGGCAGTTATATTTAATTTTTTGTAGAATTTTGTAGAATTATTTCCGGCAGGGTATTCATCGCAAAAAAACAGTATTAATGATGCCATATACGCATTTATTTTTCGACCATTTATACACCTTAACGACCTTGACTGAATAATACTGACCAGATTGTGGGGGGGGGGAGCGTAGGAAAGGGGGATACTTAAAACTCGTATTTCGATAGTTTTGTGTATGTACATACATACGAGAACCAAGTTCTAGTTGAAAAATAAACGCGTAGATTTCATCATTAATATTATTTATTGTGATAATTGTGATAAATATTACCACGTACCTCAGTGGTCGAATTGGTGAGACGCCCGCCTAGAGTGTAGGGAAGTCCAGGTTTAAACCCTGGCTGAGGTAATATTTTTCGCGATAAATTTCTTTAATTAGAATTTGCCATTGTGTATTAAGTTTTTGAGTCTCGTATTTTATTTGTTTTATATACCTAATTCTACTTCAAATTATATTTATGTAAAACTTGATATCGGTCAGTAATTTCTATTATATTTCTAAAAATTTTAATGCGCTAGTGTACGTAAACATACGTTTTGATTATATATTATCTTCAAATCTATGGAGAAATTTTTAATATTAACTACTGTTATCATTTCCGCAATGGAAAAATGTAACTCTGTTAAAACAGTGTTTTTAAAATTTAAATTATTGATTCAGTACTATTCTCATCATGATTGTTTTTTATTGCAGACTACACAGGAGTTCAAGTTGTCTCACGAAAAGTATGACAATTAAGTGACACTGCCGACAGTTGAAGCTTTTCTTAACGATTTACATTGCAATTCGAGTTGCAAATAAATTCATACATCAAATATGAAAAATTTATGCTTTGTGCTTATAACTATTATAATATTCTCACAATCAGAGGGAAGATCGCAGAACAAACCACTTCCCCAAAATGAATTTCTAAATTTTCTCTTTCCTAAGAATCCTGGGTTAGTGAAAGTAAGGAAAATGGATCGAGCCAAAGGAATGGGCGAGGCCAAATTATTGGACTTCGTAAGTAAGAAATTGTCTTTAATCATATTTATATACATTTTTAATTAATGCGTGCTCCTTCATGCAAAACCTTAAAATCAAAATAGAGATGAAATGACGATATACTATATGGACCCACACAGCAAGGGGAACTCCCGGGGAGCTCCCGGGGAGCTCTTAAAATTGGTCATAAGCTTCACTTGAACTTCAACGAACTCGCACGGAGCCCCCTGAGAGCTCCTATGTCCGCTTTTGAGAGCTCTCTGGGAGCTTTATTTAAGCTCGCAGGGAGTTTAAATGAGGCTCTCAGGGAGCTCTCAACTAGTACTAACTCGCTGGAAGCTTGTTTTATCGAATTTTATAAGCTTCCCGGGAGCTCAGCGAAATGAACTCCCTGGGAGCATGTTTTGTCGAATTTTGTAAGCTTCCCGGGAGCTCAGCGAAATGAACTTCCTAGGAGCTTAATCAGAGCTTTGTGGGGATATTATACATATACATATTATATATATTATTCTTTAGATTGGTCTGGTAGAACAATATAATTATCCCGTTGAAGAACATAACATTACAACTGAGGATGGTTACAATTTGAAAATACACAGAATACCTGGAAGTCCATTATTGGGTAACAAGAATAAGAAAGAAATTGTGTTCATGCAACATGGTCTTTTGACTTCATCTGATTACTGGGTACTGTTCGGTCCTGGTAGAGACCTTGGTATGTATTTACTGACAAAATTGAATTTTTAACATAACGTGCTAGTTAATTTACACAAGGCAGCATGTAACATTTTACTATAGCACATTTTTATGAAAAAGACTTACCTTCAAGTCATCTAAATTAAAAATTATCAATCCGTGATGTCTCTGTGTAAATCGTTCTTAAAATTTAATAAAAATCTTTATGTTTTTTCTGCACAAAAATGTCAATATAAATACAATACATAGTAAACACGAACAGTAACATAAAATAACAAATTATAATATAATTTTCTAAGAAAATTCCACGCATTTTTTATGTGCATGCGGCTCAAGGGTGGCCTTAG